CTATTTCCATGGTCTACCCCCCACAAGGGTGCCATGTACCTTATTTACATTACTAACAAACTGTCAAATCCCTTTGTTGAGCTACAAGCACCTTATATTTGCATAGTTCCACCCAGTCATCTAGTGGGAGTCACCAAGACCATGCTTGGCTAGAAGAGCCATACCAAGTAATTCATTGCACCACAGTGATTCCAAAATATGAAAATGCATATGATCTAGAATTGCCAGAGCAATTAAACAAAGCAGGGCATATATTAGCTAATTTTAAGAATTTCTATAATGCTACAGTAATCAAGACAGTATGGTATTGGTGAAGGATAGACATACAGATAATTGAACAAAGTAGAAAATCCAGAAATCGACTCACACATAGACAGTCAATTGATTTTCAACGGAGATATTAAGGCAACTCAATGTAAAAAGAAGTCTTTTTAACAAATGGTACTAGAACAACCAGATCTGCACATGAAAACAACAGTAACGACAACAAGCTTGACCTTCACGCTGCACACAAAAGTAACTCAAAATGTAAAAGCTAAAACTATAAAACTTACAGAAGAAAACACAGGAAGACATCTTTGTGACCTGTCTTAAAGGCAAAGATTTCTTAGTACACGATAGTCAAGAATCAGAAAAGAAAAAAATACATAATTCAGTTTTATTGAATTGGAAACAATTGCTCATCTAAAGATACTGATAAGAAAATAAAAAAGGCAGAGCTCAGAATGGAAGTAAATGTTTAAAATAGCTATGACAAAGAATATATAAAGAACTATTAACTCTATAACAGAAAGATAACCCAATTGTAAAGTGGACAAACAATTTGAACAATACATCTTTTTTTAAAAAAAAAGATATATAAATGGTCGATAAACATATGAAGAGATGCTCACCACCATTAGTCATCAGAGAAATGCATACTAAAACAATGAGATACCACTGTACACTCATTGGTACACTACAGAGTGTTGGTGAGTATGTGGAGCAACTGGAACTCCCATACTGGTGAAGATATACTCCATATACTCCCATACTGCTGGTGGAGATATAAAATGGTAAAACCACTTTGGAAAGCAGCTTAGTGGTTTCTTACAAAGGAAAACATGCACCTACAATATGTTCCAACCATTCCACTCGTAGGTATTTATCCAAGAGAAATTAAAACAAATGTCCATGCTAAGACTTGTACACACAAGTTCATAGCAGCTTTATTCACAATAGCCAAAAACTGGAAACAACCCAAATGTCCATTAATAGGTGAATGGGTAAGCAAAATGCCATGTATCGATACAATGAACTATTAATTAGTAATTAAAAGGAACAAAGTACTGATAAAACAACCCAGATGAATCTAAAATTCATTATGCTGAATGAACGAAACCAGCACAAAAGTGTACGTACTGTGTGATTCATTTGTGTAAAGTTCTAGAAAATGCAAACAATCTTGAAGCATTTACAATGAAAGTCAAAGACTACAGCCTTCAGTATGGATTACACCAGAATGTAATTGTTTTCTTAAACAAAAATCCTCAGACCTGAACCAATAAGCAAGATCATGGTAAATGGACAAAATATTGAAATTGTCATGGCTTTCATTTACTTGGACCCACAGTGCTCATGGAAGCAGCAGTCAAGAAATCAAAGGATGTATTACATTGGGCAAAGCTGGTGAAAAAGACCTCTTTGTTGTTAGATGCTGTCGAGTCAGCTGTGACTCAGCGACCCTGTGTACAACAGAAGGAAACATTGCCTGCACCTTCCTCACAATCCTTGCCATGCTTGAGCCCACCATCATCGCAGCCATTGTGTCAGTCCATCTCTTTGAGGGTCTTCTCTTTTTTCACTGGACTGTTACTTTACCAAGCATGATATCTTTCTCCAGAGAATAGTCCCTTCTGATACCATGACCAGAGTAGGTGAAATGAAGTCTGCCCATTCTTGCTTCTAAAGAACATTCTGGCTTCACTTCTTCCAGGACAGATTTGTTTGTTCTTCTAGCAGTCCACGGTATTTTCATTATTCTTCACCAACATCACAGTTCAAAGGTATCAGCTCTCCTTTGGTCTTCCTTAGTCATTGTCCAGCTTTCATATGCATATGAAGTGATTGGAAAATACCATGGCTGGGGTTGTGGTGGTTGTTATGTGCCATCAAGTTGGACCCGAATCATAGCGACCCCTCCTTGGGTTTCCGAGGCGGTATCACTACGGAAGTAGATTGCCCCATCTTCCTTCTGAGGAGTGGCTGGTGGGTTTGAACCGCCAGCCTTCTGGTTAGCAGTCAAATGCCTTAGGCACTGCGTCTTCAAAGTGACATTTTTGCTTCTTAACACTTTCAAGAAGTCTTTTACAGCAGATTTTATAGTGCAACTTCTGATTTCTTGACTGCTGCTTCCATGGGTGTTGATTGTGGATCTAAGTAAAATGAAATCCCTGACAACCTCAATTTTTTCTCCACTTATTGTGATGTTGCTTATTGGTCCAGTACTAAGGATTTTTGTTTTCTTTATGTTGAGGTGTAATCCATACTGAAGACTGGTAGTCTTTGATCTTCATCAGTAAGTGCTTTAAGTCATCTTCACTTTCAGCAAGCAAGGTCATGTCATCTGCATATCACAGGTTGTTACTGAGTCTTTCTCCAATCCTAATGCTGTGTTCTTCTTCATATAGTCCAGCCTCTTGGATTATTTGCTCAGCATATAGATTGAATAAGTATGGCGAAAGCATATAACTCTTGACGCACACCCTTCCTGATTTTAACCATGCAGTATCTCCTTGTTCAGTTTGAATGGTAGCATCTTAGTCAATATGCAGGTTCCTCATGAGTACAATCAAGTGTTCTGGAATTCCCATTCTTCTCAATGTTATCCATAATTTGTTATGATCCACACAGTTAAATGCCCCTGCATAGTCAATGAAACACAGGTCAACATCTTTCTGGTATTCTCTGCTTTCAGCCAAGACCCATCTGACCTCAGCAGTTATGTCCCTCATTCCATATCCTCTTCTGAATCCAGCTTGAATTTCTGGAAGTTCTCTGTCAATATACTGCTGCAGCCGTTTTTGAATTATCTTCAGTAAGATTTTACTTGTGTGATCTTGATGTTGTTTGATAATCTCCATACTCTGTGGGATCACTAGGCCATTCTTCTCTTTCTGTCTTAGTCTGGAAGCTCCACTGAAGCTTGTCCACCATGGTTGACCCTGCTGGTAATTGAAATACCAGTGGCATGGTGTCTCGTATCATAGCAACACGCAAAAATGCAAATTGACAGACGGGTAGTGGGCATAATTGAAAAGAAAAGGTAAATCAGAGAAATGGTGCATTTTTCCTGATAGCATTAAATCATTTTTAATAAGGTGTATGTGGGCTGGGGGTGGGGGGCCTCCCAAGGCTTAGGAGGAGACGGTTCTGGTCTCCCTTGGGCCTAGGTATCCCTTGGCCCACACAGTGCCCAGTTTGCCACCAGGCTGGACTGAGTTTGGTGGAAAGTGAATTAGACTCCACCTGCCTGTTACAGGGCAGAAACTGTCCCCCTTGCCTTTATCTTCCCACCCGGGAGCCCTGCTGCTGGCAGCTCATGGGCACACCAGCACATGGAGACATCTACCACCCCAGACTGCAGCTTCTTGGTGTGCTGCGGGCCTGGCCAGAATGCTTCCCACAGGCACTATTCTGCTCTGCATGCTTCTTGGCGGGTTGGAAATTTCACCCCAGAAAGCCTCTTTGGAGGTAACCATTATGCATGTGTCAGAGTACTGCTCCAGCCGTGTTTGGGACTGATTATAATTAGGGTTACCACCTTGTCAGTTAATAGAAGCTTGCTGAAATATTCCCTAGTACAGTACTTCAAGTGGTTGAGCAGCTCAGTGTTGCTCTTATAAAGTAGATGTGGGTTCTTGGGTGGCCATGACAGGTACCACCATGGGGGTTTCAAAGAACAGAAGCTCATTCTCTCATAGTCTTGGAGGCTGGGATCCTGCAATCAGGGTGTCATCCTTGTTGATTCCTTCCAAGGCTCTGAGGAGAATTTATTCCAGGCTTCTCCCACGCTTTTGGTGACAGCTGGCAATCCATGGCTTGTGGGTACATCACTCCAGTCTCTGCCTCTGTCGTCACATGGCTGTCTTCCCTCTGTCAGCCTCTGTCTTTTCTCTTCTTTTATAAAGACACCACTCAGATGGGATTAGAACCCACACAACCCTGTTGTTATTGTTGTTGTTAGTACATGCTGTCGAGTCGGACCTGACTCATAGCGACCCCTCCTTGGGTTTCCGAGGTAGTATCGCTATGGAAGTAGATTGCCCCGTCTTCCTTCCAGGGAGTGGCTGGCGGGTTTGAACCACCAGCCTTCTGGTTAGCAGTCAAGTGCCTTAGGCACTATGCTACCAGAGCTCACACAACCCTAGTAAGGTTAAATCTTGTTAACTGATGTTAATAATAGTTAACTCTTTTTAACAGTTAACATTTGTTAACTGATGACATCTTCAAAGACCCTGTTTCCAAACAGAGTCATATTCACAGGTGCCAGGGTTGGGACTTGAACGTGTGTTTTTGGGGATACAATTGCACCATAACACTGAGTTTAACTACTGAACTGGCTCACTAGGAAATAAGCCCAGTGCCCAACCCACTTACTTCTCTGCTCAGCCCTACTTTCATATCGCGGAAGATGAGCTAAAAGCTGCTGGAGAAGGGAGTGAATTCTGTCCTGCGTCTGGTGACTGGTAGAGTGATGGCAGCGCCCAGCTACCCCTCATCAGCCCTAGGAGGCCTCACCTGACCATGTTCACTTGCAGGCCTTGCACCGTAGTGTCCAGGGCCCAGTGGAGCCCAAGTGGACACAACTCCTAGTCACCAGAGGCCCCAACTGTGGACCAGCCAGTCACCCAGGGCAGCAACTGACTGAGGGTGCAGTCCACCCCTGGAGGGACAGGTAGGGTCCCTACAGGCACCCCATGCCATAGCACCCCTCTGTATTGCAGACGCTGTGTTGGGACATGGCGCTCCCTCACGTTATCCTGCTGGTGGGAGTCCTGGCAGAAGTTACTGGCACATCCACAGAAAGTACGGTAGGTGAGCCTGCATGGCAGCAGGCCCAGGTGCACAGCCTGGGGTTCAGGGCCTCACCCACAGTGTCTGACCCTCACCCTGACAGTCACTGAGTCAGTCCTCAGAGGCCCAAGATGCTGCCTCAAGTTTGCCTTGGCATCTGGGCCAGGCATCACGTGAGTATGGGACACAGCACTTGGCATGACCCTTTTCTGGCCTCGAACCTTCCCTCTCTCCTCCAAGCTGGACCTTTGCTATAACCAACATGGGATGATAGAGCTGACCCTCAGGCTGACGGGAGCCCTGCCACTTGCCAGGACCCAGAGACCATTTGCCCTGAGGGACACTGGCATTGGGTAGGGTCTTTGCAAGATGGCTGTCCAGGCTGGTGACATCACTATGCACTCAGCCTTGGCTTCCAGAGTGGGCTTCAGTGCACCTCCCATTGTCCCTGTTCCTGCCATCCCTGCTCCCAGCTCCAGCACTGACACATGTCTTGTGGCAGCACCTCCACTGTCTACCAGCTGGCCAGCTGCAAGCCTGGGGTGGGGGCCTTCCCTACCTTGGTTGGCTAGGGCTCTGCCATGCCCTGGTCAGGGCTCTGTCACACAGACATGGCTCCTCTGCGCCTCACTGCTCCCTAACTGGTCTCCAAGTCTGGGCACTAAACACAACAGCCAGTCGGGGTAGCAACTGAAATACCCCCCATGCCCTCTCAAGCCAGAGAGACTACATGGAGGAAGGGCCATGGCTCTGATGCGGTGCAGTGTGGCTGCAAGGTGCCCCCAGTGTGGCCAGGAACTAACTGCTCACTCACCTTCCCAGGTCCAGCAGCCCAAGTGTTGTGTGGAGGTGGCAGATGCCAATGCCACCTGCCCTGGCACAGGCCTGTGTGGTCCAGGTAAGCAGCCCCTGTAAGCCTGTTTGTCCAGGGGGGCCTCCCCATGCTGCACCCAGGCACTTGGGAGGAGGGGGAGCTGGTATGGGTCTGCAGTGAGACAAGTGAAGTCTCCAAGGAAGAGGGATGTTGGATTCCCTTCATGGGGCTTCATGGTGCAAGTGACAGTAGACTTGGGAAGCCACACAAAGTGGAGAGGAGTGAGCATGCCAGGGAGGGGGCTGCCAGGTGAGGGGTCTGCAGGAAGGGGTAGGACAAGCCAGAGGCCAGTGTGCCCGAGCTGTCAGGCCTTCTGATGGTGTCCGCATGGGGACCAAACAGCAAAGGGCATTAGGAAGGGCCTGGGGCTGAAGGGCTGCGGCGCTTAGCTCTCACACCAGCAATTGGCCCTCCTGAGCCAGTGTCTGCTCAGCTGTGCTGATGCAGGAATGACACTGGAAGTCAGATGTTCCTGCCACAGAGCCACCAGCAGGAGCAGGCACAGCAGTCTGGGAGCAGGTGCAGTTTGAGCTCAAGGAGCATCCGTGGAAGGCAGAGGCACAGAATACAGGGCAGGACTTGTTCCTCCGCAGCTGTGTGAGGGTGCAATACTGTGAAGCGGCCGCGTGGGGTGAGGTCAAGTGGAGGGTGCTGGGTAGGGCCTGTTGGGTGGCAGTGGAGGTGTCCACAGTCCCTACATACTCAGAACTTGGAGAAGGCCCAAGAGAGGGACTGAGACACCCCAGCGGGCCCTGCCCCCTCCCGGCACAGGCTGCTACCGGCACAGGGCCGAGGACGGGAGTGTCAGCTGCCTCCAGTGCCACAACACCACCTTCCCAGCCACCGCCACCAATGGCTCCGAGTGCAAAAGCTGTAAGTCGCTACCAGGCCCCCAAGCCTCCTGCCCCGCAGCCCCCAGCCCTGTTCCTGCTGTGGTGTGACTGGAGTCTATCCTCAGGGCGTCTGGTCCCCAAAGCTTCTGACTTCCATTCAAGGCCCTGCCCCTCACTTCTGGCAATGGGGGCTCTGACGCTTCCACTCTCCCCACAGCCTCCGGCCGGGGCGATCCCTTCCCCGTGAATAGGAGTACAGGGACACCTGGGCTGCCAGGTTCTGGTGAGTTGCCTGGCACAGACAGGAGCCCACACCTCCAGCCCTACTTGGGGTGCAGGGTGTGGGGAGGATTGTGGGGGCCCAAGGGCATCAGTGGCATGGGCCAGTGCCACTAACATCCTCGTGGAACTCCTGTGTGTGGGGTGGGGTGCAGACCCAGCCCTGAGGGAGGTAGGGAGCCAGTGGGGTCCCAGGCTGAGGAAACTGGCCGTCGCTCTGCTGCAGGGGGTCCCCGAGTGGTTGCTTCGCTTTTTCTGGGGACGCTCTTCGTCAGTTCCGGCCTCATCCTCTCTGTGGCCATGTTCTTCTACCTCAAACGCACCAGTAAACTCCCTGCCATCTGCTATGGAAGGAACAAAGGTGTGTCCTTCATGGGGCTAGCTGAACTGAGGCGGGAGGAGGGTGATTAGCCAAGGGTGCTGCCGGGAGGAATGTGGGGTGGCCTGGAAGACCACCTTGTGGACCATGCACTATCTCCCTCTGCAGCCCCGGCCCAGCAGCCTGGCGAAGCCGTAAGTAGCCGCCCAACTGCCGCCACCCATGCCTGTGCCCACCCCCCGGGCCAGCCCTGCTGCTCACTATACCTTTCTCTCTCCTCAAGGCTGCGATGATCCTCCCGCCACAGTCCTCAGGTAACACTGCACGGCTCTGCCCTGCCCGTCCCATCTCTGGGAACCACACCAGGCCCAGAGGCAGACAGTCTTCCCCAAAACATACAGGTCCCCTCAGGGCATCATCCCCTCTCTGGCCCCCCGACATCCCTCAAGGCCAAATCCTCGCTCATCCCCGGGCCCTTTCCATGATCAATGAAAGAGCTTTTGTGTGCCTCCCGGTTGTTCCTGTGACAAGAGAAGGGAAATCCCCACGTGGAGCCCACCGGCTCCCCAGGGTCATTTGTCCTTCTGGCCACCATGGGGCCCACCCCCAGGCACCTACAAAGGGGTCAGGAACACAGTAAGGACACTGACCTGCCCACACCACAGTCACTGAGCACCAGCCACAGACAAGGTTCAGACCAGGCCCCCAGAGACCAAGTTCTCAGCCCTTGTGGAGTGGGCTGGGTTTGGGAGATGAACAGAAAAGTTCTCTGGGAACAGAGGTAGCAGGTCAGCAGTATGTATAGTAGGTGTGGGGGTTTCAAACAGCAGCAGGCATTTCTCAGGGAGTCAGGCCTGCTTGCATCAACCCTGGGAGCAGCCCACTACCACCACCCACTCAACAAGGCTCCCCCAGAGTGAGCGGAGGCCCCACTGGGTGTCAGCTCTGATGCCTTCAAGTCAGGACCATCCTGTAACCACTCTTTCAACTTCTCAAAACTGCCCGGCCTGGAGCACCTTTAATTTAAGATGCACATGAGTTCCCTGAGGCTGCCCATACACACCCTACACACCGTGTGCTTAAGGTATCGCAGTCTAGAGGCCAGGAGTCAAAATCAGTGTCGGCAGGACCCTGTCCTTCTGGAGGCTCTAGGGGGAGATCCTTCCCTGCCTCTTCCAGTTTCTGGTGGCCACATGGCTCCATCTCTGCCCCTGTGGCCACATGACTTCCTCCTCTCCGTTTCTCCTCTGTGTCTCTCCTAAGGACCCTGGTCATTGGATATAGGGTCCACTGGATAATCTGGGATGACCCTCTCACTTCAAGATCCTTACACCTGCAAAGACCCTTTTTCCAAACAAGGTCACCCTCACAGGTCCAGGGTCAGAAGGTGGGCGCATCGCTTGGGGCCGTCTAGCCCACTGCAGTGTTCTCTGTGTTGGGGGGACTGGGGTGAATGAGCCAAGGAGGCTGAGCCATGAGTTGCTGTCAGGTCACTACTGCCTTGGGAGGAATGGGCCTGCTCATAAGTGAGCTCAGTTGGGGCTTTAGGAGGGGAGGTCTGCTCCTCCAAGTGAGAGAGAGTAGGAAACTTGCCCACCTCACCTCTGGCCCTGCTGCCCCACCTAGACTGGCCCTGACCTGCACCCTCTCTGGCCCATTTCAGTGCGGAAGCCGCGCTATGTGAGGCGTGAGCGACCCCCGGAAAGGCCCCTTGGTGCCGCAGCCATCCCCTCAGTGGAGGCTCGAGTCAGCAGCGTCTAAACCAGAGGTCCGCCTGCGACTGGACCAGGACAAGCCCTGAGGTCTGGGAGGGCCCAGACTGCGCCCTGTGTCCTGCACACAGAGCTGGTACTGCCAGCCGGGCCTGCGCCTCATCTGCATCTCAGCAGCAGACACCACGAGGGAAACCAGCTGTGCCCAACTCCCCTGGAATCCATCTTTCCCGTTCACTGCTATTGGGTTGGAATGACTGGGAGTAGACATCACTGCAACAGCCAGATTGTGGCCTGGAGGGTGGAGAAAGGCCCTGGGAGGACAGCCTGAGGGACACAGGTGGGCCAGGTCCAGGGCCGCCCACCAGGGGCAGCTGCGAGCCAGGTGGGAGGGCTGGAGTTGGTGATAGGCAGCCTCCACACACACACACACACACACACACACACACACTATCCCTACTCACACCCTAGCCACTAGGCCTGAGGGGCCACCTGACCCATGCCCAGGTGTCTCATTTATGCCCTAAGGAGCATGAGCCCCCATCCCAGCCTTGCTCTGAGAAGTGAGGCCCCAGCCTCGCTAGCCATGGCTGCCAGGGAGGGATGGGGCCCAGGGGACAATGAGACACCACAGTGCTGTGTGTCAGTGTTACACTTCCTCTGCCCTTCAGCAGACATGCATTTGTAGAAACAAATTCCTGAAAGATGTGTCAGACCCCTTCCCTCTGCTCTGCCCCCCCTTGGGCCTGGGTCCCTCATCTGCCTGGGAAAGGGGTGAGTACAGTGTCCCCACCCCAGCACCCCTGCACCTGAAATCCCATGGCCACTTTCACTGTGTCCACTGTGTGGACTGCCTGGTTTTCTGGACTCTTCCTGGGTAGAGTACATGGGGCTAGCCTCCAAAGGCCTGTGGTGGCTGCAAGTCCTCAAACTAGTAGATGCCTGTCCTGCTGGGGGAATGCCTCAAGGCCTTGGAGGCTGCCAACAGCCTGCCAGGCCTTGGTGGAAAAGCCCCTGCCTGATCTCTGGGCCCTTGGGGCTCCCTGGTCACCTCAAAGCCAGCACTTGGGAGTCCAAGGACTTTTGGTGTCCCTCAGCATCAGAGTCCTCCACACTGTGACACCGTCTAGAGAGTTTTATTTTTATATCATCTACTTTGTTCCATACTTGTTTCCCGAGACTTGAACTGTGGGTCGTCCAGGTGCAGAGAACAGGCATGCCATTTTAAAACCAGTGTCAAAACTATTTGGAGCTTTTCTGTCTTTAAATGAGGGGGCTGTTGCTGTTGTTAGTTGCTGTTGAGTCTATTCCGAAGGATGGTGGCTCCATGGTCACCACAGGTGGTAAAAACAGTTAAGTGGTTGGTTGAAAGGTGAGCGTTTGAATCACCCAAAGGCACCTAGGAAGACAGGCCTGGTGATCTGCTTCCCAAAGACCACAGTCTTGAAATCCCTAGGGAGCAGTTCTGGTCTGCACACATGGTCACGAAATCAGAGGGTGAAACCTGGAAACCTCTGGCCCAACCTCAGTCCTACCCACCGCCCAGGGACCCACCCAAAATGCTGGAGACTGGGATCCTAGAGGGTTTCTTGAGGCCTTGTCCAGCGCTCCCCCCCCCCCAGGACATAGTGTTATCTCTGGAAGCTGGGGGGCTTGTCCACAACCCTCAGCTTTAGAGCCCTTCTGGAGCACCTGAGAGGGGAGGCTTATGGGGTCCTCACGCACTGGTGGCTTTCCTGCTGATGCCAAGGCCCTCTAGGGTGTGGGGCTGGGGATTGGTGCAGACGGGGACCCCCACCCCCACCCCCCAGCAGCTCCCTTTCCCACTCTTCCCAAGACTCAAGCTCCTGCCCCGCGCTCCTGTCCCCACCCCCAAGGCCGCCTCCGCCTCAAGTTCGGTTGGGCTGGGCCAGGAGCCCCGAGCCTGCCAGAGACCAGGCTGAATCAGGAGAGGGACAGACCCCCCCAGAGTGGCCCAGAAGAGGAAGCCGCCAGCCCAGCCCAGGTTGTAGCTCAGTGTGGAGGGAGAAGGCGGCGCCAGAATGGCCGGGTTGCGTCGGTGCAGGGCCTCTGTCCCTCTCTACCTGAGGAATCCTCACCCTGGGAAGGTCACAGTAGTCCGATTCACGCCACTTGGCGCTCCAAGGAAGCGCAGGGTCCCCACTGAAGCGCCGCCCGCCAGATCTTTGCCCACCCTGGGCTTCGCGGCGGGGAAGCTCGGAGTCCTTTGCACTGTGACACCCTTCTGACCCCTTTGCATGCGGAGCCTCTCCTGAACAATGAAAAGTGACGGGGATAGGAGTAGCCGCCGTGGGGCCCATGTCTTCATTGACCACGGGGAAGAGGGGAACAAACACTCGGGGTGGCTGTTGAGACTACACAGACCTGGCTCCGGGCTGGGAGTGTCCTCAGAGCTGCGCACCGCCCTCCCTCCCTCACTGGGCATGACTCGGCGCTGCCCCCGCCCCCACCCCGGAGGCCACTCGACCCGCGGGGTCCCCGCCTTCGAGTGAGCTCGGCTCCTCCGGCAATGGTTGGCCTTGACGCGGACCCCTTTGACACATCAGCATCGTAACCTGTCGTCCTAAGCAGCCTGGGGCAAAGGGCGGCGCATACGTCCCACCAGTGGCTCGGCTGTGGGAAGGCGGCGGGAAAGGGGAGAGACAGCCTCAATCCCGCGTGCGCACCAAACCAGCTCGTTATGTGGGAGAGAAAATGCAAAATCGTATTTGGCCGCCCCACAGCGCCGATAAGTCCCTGCGTCTCTCTCCCTGGGAAAAAGCCTATCCTTGGGCCCTACGTGATGGCCGATTCCATCTGAAAAGCAAGCCAGACTCGTGTCCCCCTGACCCACGCCCCTTTCCCACCCTCTTGGCGTTTGGCCCACCTCGCCATCCCTTCCAGAACGCGCGGTCGCTCGCCCCAACTGCAGCCTCCCCCTTCCTCTATCCGTGCAGTGGCAGAGCCTCCGCCCCGCATCTGGCCTGCGTCTGAGGTGAAGCCCTTCTTCCGGCGCCTGCCACTCTCAGGACGCTCCCTACGCCTCCCTCTTAGTGGTTAGGTGCCCTCCAGTCAGTGCAGACTCCGAGAGACCCCGTGTACAACAGGAAACACTGCCTAGTCCCGTGCCATCCTCACAAGCCTCGCTATGTTCTGTTTAAGCCTGCTGCTGCAGCCACTGTGGCAATCCATCTCCTTTAGGGACATATCTTTCACTGACCAAGCATGACATCCTTCTCCAGTGACTATGTCCAAAGTACGTGAGACAAAGTAGCCATCCTCACTGCTAAGGAGCATTCTGGCTGTACTTCCTCCAAGACAGATTTTTTTCATTATTCCATGGTGCATTCAATAGTCTCTAATAGTTACCATAACTCAGAGGCATTGATTCTTCACCCTTCCTTATTCATTCTCCAGCTTTCCCATGAAAGGTGATTGAAAATACCATGGCTTGGGTCACTTTAGTCCTCAGAGTGACATCTTTGCTCTTTAACACTTTTTTTTTTGCACAGATTTACCCAATGCAATAAATCATTTGATTTGTTGGATCCACAGGACAGATTTGTTCATTCTACTGTCAGTCCATGATATTTTCACTATTCTTTGACACCACAGTCGAAAGGCATTAGTTCTTCTTCAGACTTCCTTATTCATCGTCCAGCTTCTACATGAATGTGAGGCTAGTGAAAAAACCATGGCTTGGGTTAGGCACACCTTAGTCTTCAAAGTGACATCTTTGCTTCTTAATACTTTTGAGAGGTCTTTTGCAGCAGACTTGCCCAGTGCATACATCTGATTTCTTGACTGCTGCTTCCATGGGTGTTGACTGTGGATCCAAGTAAAATGAAATCCTTGACAACTTCAATATTTTCTGCATTACCACAAAGTTGCTTATTAGTCCAGTTGTGAGGATTTTTGTTTTACGTTGAGGTGTAATCCATAGTGGTGGCTGTAGTTTTTGATCTTCATCAGTAAGTGCTTCAAATCCTTTTTGCTTTCAGTAAACAAGGTTGTATCATCTGAAAATCGTAGGTTGTTAATTCTACCACTGTGCTTCAGGATAGATCTTGAAATGTTGTTTTTGACAATGAACATGACACCATTCCTCTTCAATTTGTCATACCTGGCACAGTAAACCATATATATGTCCGTCTAATTCAAAATGGCCAATGCTAGTCCATGTCAGTTCACTAATGCCTAGGTTATCAATCTTTATGCAATCCATTTCATATTTGACGACTTCTAATTTTCCTAGATTCATACTTTGTACACTCCACGTTCCAATTATTAATGGGTGTTTGCAGCTGTTTCTTCCCTTTTTGAGTCATGCCACATCAGCAAATAAAGTTCTGAAAGCTCTACTCCATCCACATCATTAAGGTCAACTTTACTTTGAGGGGGAGCTCTGGTGGCATAGTGCCTAAGGCACTTGACAGCTAACCAGAAGGGTGGCAGTTCAAAGCCACCAGCCACTCCCCAGAAGGAATGTTGGGCAATCTACTTCCACAGTGATACCGCTTCGGAAACCCAAGGAGGGGTCGCTATGAGTCGGATCCAACTCGACGGCAATAAGTTAGGTTTTGGTTTTTTTACTCTGAGGAGGCAGCTCTTCTCAGTCGTATTCGTGTGCCTTCCAACCTGAGGGGCTCATCTTCCAGCCCTACATCAGACAATGTTTCCCTTCTATTCGTTAGGTTTTCACTGGCCAGTTTTTTCAGAAGTAGACCACCAGGTCCTTCCGAGTCTTAGTCTGGAAGCTCTGCTGAAACCTGTGCACCATGGTGACCCTGCTGGTATTTGAATACCAGTGACATACCTTCCAGCATCACAGCAACATGCAAGCCTCCACAGTCTGACAAAGTGACAGACGCGCGTGGCACCCCTCCCTACCTGTATCCAAACCCGCTTGCAGCACGCCAGCCACACTGGCTGCCCCTCCTTTGTCCTTAGACAACCCTGCCCCCAAAGACAACAGGAAAAGGCCAAGGCTGTGCAGTAGAAGTGCTTGGGTAGGCCTGTGTCTACTTCACAGCAGCCCCACCTCACTCA